CCCCAAAACCCCAAAACCCCAAAACCCCAAAACCCCGCAAGGTAAATTTAGATAAAATTTGAAATCTCTAAAATTAATTAAATTCTTAAATATCAATTAGTCAATGGAAGAGAAATATGAACCTTAAAATAAACCTCAATAAAATCTATTGGAGCATCCTTAGATCATTCATATTTCCTAAAAATCTAATTTACAATCATAAGTCATGAAAAAGTCGCTTCAATGAAATATTCAAAATGTCTAATCTTAGAAGATTGCAAGAATAGTTCCAAAAAACTTCAGAAGATAATCTCCTTTAGATATTTAAAGAGCTGAATCAGAGAAGAGAAAATGCAAAAATGAAGAAGAGGAGGAGTATCAAAATTACATTGACAATGACTTTGCATTTAGAGAGGATAATATCGAAGAAATTGAATACAGAAAGAAAAAGGACAATTACATAGCAATTGACAAAAACTTGCTTGATTACAAACATAATACGTAATCCATAAAATCTCATCATGTAAAGGGTAAATTATCTGAATATTCTCAAAATCCTGCAGAAAGCCATAAACAAAGATAAAAAAGCTAAAATCAAGATGAAATAAATTCAAATAAAAGCCCAAGGGTAATTATACCTACTACTCTGTAAACTGTTGAGAGAGTTCTAACTAAGTCTAATTCAAATGATAACCTCTCTAGGATCCATAAGGGTCCTCTGAGTTAGAGATCTAATAATTCTAACTAGAGCAATTAAACAGATGTAAATTCAAGAGTCAAATAATAATTAAAGTATGCGAAGAAATTAATAGCTGAGCGCAGAGTTAGAAGTATTCAAAATTAATTTCAACAATAGTATCAGCAACAATCTTAAAATGAGCCATAGTTACCTTAATTTATAACTTCCGGAAATAACTAGGATTTTAGCTTTGGTGGTTATCACCAAAGTGCTAATATAAAAAGTTATAGAGGAAGTTTATTAGATCCTTAATATCCAACTAGTGATGATGGCTCATCTTAAGGAAAAAGATCGGCAAAATCTTAAAACGAGCAAAGTTTGAATCATCTTCCAAAGAGTAAACGGAGGGTAGTAAAGGAACGTAAAATGCACACACCAATCGATGAATTATAGGAGGAAGATGAAATTTCAATAAATGATAATCTTAGTGATGATGAATACGATGATGCTTAAGGTCTTGAAGAGCAACAAGAACGATAAGAAAGATAAAACAGTAAAGCTAGAAATACCTAAACTCCTTCATTCGTTGAAAACTCAGGTGGTTAAGCTTCAAACATTCCCAATATACATATTCCAAATCCAATTACAAATAACAAAATGGAGGATTTGAATGAATACTACAAAAAGAATACAGTATCACCAAAACCAATGGTCTCAAAGGACTAAATAAAGGACTTTCAAAAAAATTTTAAGAGAAAAATTCTTCTCAAATAAATAATTAAAAATAATGAAATAATAAGGAAAGATGATGAAATAAAGATACCCATTGAGAGACCAAAATCTTGTGACAAAGTTTCTTCAGGGACTTAAAATGTTAACATTTATATTGGTAACTACACAAATTTAAACATAGATCCTTAAGTATTTTACCATCCTTAATAATAACAAGTAGATTAGTAGGATTTAAATTCAATTTTATAAAATTCTATGGCTTAGGCTATTCCATAGTAAAACACATTAAACTTAAAAATTCAAGAATTAGCTAAGAAACAGGCTTTAAATTCCTAGACTAGTTCTTTGCTTAAGAAATTTTAGAAAATTTAGTCAAAATAAATTACTAAAACGATGCAGAGCTAAGAAGTTTTTGATATGCCCACGGCTTCTCAAGCACAGAATACAATACAAAATATGACTAGAAATGACTTCTTGTCCTAAAATTCATCCAACTTTAATCACATTTTATTTTCAAGTGGATCAATGAGCGCTAGAACTAATAATAAGTCTTAAAGAGGAGAAATTTAATCAAATCTTAAACAAGTTTAATACAAATAAAACTAGCCATTTGTTAAAACACTAAATGCCTAAGGTTCTTAGTCTAATTTATCAAAAGTAAAATCATAAATAATGGGAGAGTCAATAGGAAGATAATCAGTAAATATGCAATAACAAAATAATGTGCTTTAGAATGTATCTTCGTTAAATAATATCACACAAACTCTTAATAAGGGTATAACAACAAGGAATCAGGCATATTAATGCGGAAATTTGACAGCGAGACCTTCAACCTAAGTGAAACAAAGACCAGTCACTAAGAACTCTTATGGCATTCTTTATTAATCTACAACAAGCATTGGACAAACTTAAAGTAAGGTTATCGTCACAGGAGGAGTACCTTTAACTTCAAGAGCTGGAGAAAGATATCAAGGAGAGGATATTAACAGAGTCTCAAAAGGAAGTTCGAGTAGAAACAGAAGAGCCAGCAATAAATAATAGAGTAGTAGCAATAGCAATCTTAATTTAGATTGATGATTCCCAGAGTGGAAAACTAAGATCATCCAATTGACTTAAAGTGATAGATAATCCTCTTTTGATACAGAGTAAATAAATAGATAGGGTTTGTATAGCTATAAAATCAATATCATATCTATATATATATAAATGCATTTTTTAAATCTTCCAGTAAAATTACTTAAGGTTTCATGGGGTTTTGGGGTTTTGGGGTTTTGGGG